TAACCCAAGATGCAGCTAAACCATCTGCAGCTCTTGGACATACAGCTCTTCTCCCAGCATTTTGTTTCACCACTCAAAAGAATAAAACAAACTGAAAACAAAGCTGCTTTGTCATCTTGGATTCCAACAGGCAAATATTTCGATAACTCCGCGAAAAACAGCTCTGAATGTTTTTTCCCCCTCAAATAATTTAATTTCAGAAATAATTTGATAATACCAACAAAAAAAAAGAGTAAATTCAATTTCATTTCAGGACAGAATTCTGGAGTTTTCCTGCAGAAAGCAGCCCAGCCCAGCCCCACCAGGCTGTCCTCAGGTGACCTGCTCAGCGCTCTCGTCTTCTTGGCTCTAAAATTTGAGGACAGGTGTCTAAGACAAATATTTTCTTAGGGGGGACAGAATATGACGCAGCTGAGTTCTGAGACAAATTTAAGCTGATTAAGTTTTCCAAATCTATCTGACCTCCTGTTCAAACCTTTGATCTGTCGTCCTTAGTTTTATGGCACAGCATCCAGCACCCAAACACAGGCTCTGCCGTTCCCCTGTGCCAGCAAAACTTTGGGGGGAGCACAGAAACCACAGCTCCCCCCAAAGCCTCTGAACCCTGCGTGGATCCAGCTGCAAGGCTTGACACTGCAAATACCAGGGATTTCAGTCAAGCAAATAGTCTTATTGATTTTACTGGACTGTAAATTTAGGAGATTAAAGTTGCTGAGTGTTTGCGAGTCGCCGTGGTAGGGTTGGAATCATCCTCTGCAATCCAAGCACTTTGTAAGGTGCAGCTTAATGTAAGTATATTACAGCCAGTTCAAAGTCATCTTACACTTTACATGATCCTGCCACTGAAGGTCTTGAATCCCTTCAAATTCCAAGATTATGAACCATACAGACATCTCCAGTTCATCTGTTTGTTGGTACTAAGGAATCTACGAAGAAAGTTAATCAAAACCAACGACCAAATTTGTGCATCATTTTTGAGAACACATTTTGGTTGAGTTTTGTTATAAATGGAGATAATGGCATTACATGTCCATTTAAAATGGTACAGAGAAGAATTCTGGAGCACCAGACATGTGAAATTTCACTTTTTCTACATTTATCATCCAATGTGTGCCACAAACACTGTCAGGGCATATCATGGGGGGCATAAATAAAAGGATTGGTGACAGCACCAGTTCTCCCAGACAGCTCTGTCCATGCCCCACGTCTCTGTACTCAGCTTGACCCATGTTGACACTCTT